AATTATCTATTAGTTTATCACAAAAAATTGGAAGGAAATGCATTGCATGATGGATTTAACTGATTTAAGTTGATTATATAGTGAGCTGGCAAACACTGTAAGTGTAGAAAATATGTAGTAATTAATGAAAAAAGATTAAACACACCATAATCATTTATATATAATGAATTACTACAATATTTTACACTTTATACATTGCATGGTAAGATACATGAGTGACTTAGTACCACATACAGTTCCTATGAGGTTCAAAATTTTCACTATCTTCATCATCTCTATGTGTAGAGTAAGTATATTTTGAAGAGTAGTCATCAAATGATAAATCCCCAAAATAGTTTTGCATGTAATTGTTAACATGCCACCCATATGGATCTGAGATTGGTTGACGTTGTCCATAAGCAAAATCATTTGAAGATTGAGTCTCGGATTCTTTCCATGAGTTGCTTGATTCCATCCCAACAGGAATGGGATATGAAGGGTAGGGAAATGGTTGGTTATGAGTATAACCATAGTTACTACTCATCTCTGGCCAACACGTAGAAGACAATTGAATTGAATGGAAATGGCCAAAAAAGAAGCAAAGCTTCCAACTGGCCACAGGTAATCTCTGTCAAGAAAGATAAACCCTTTAATCTAAATACTTGCTGCATCAACTTCTGTACTTAAATACAGACCTCTCAAACATCAATGTGAATCAAACCCTGGTTTATCCTTTTCTCTTATTTCTTTTTTTGGGTCAAGGTTTTGGCAGTCAAACATGAGGCACCCTACTTGGGTGTTGGGATCTGATTGGCTTACATATTTTGCTGCCTGGTTGGCCCAATATGTTTCTGATTATTGAATTTTCAAAGGAGCAAATAATTGGTTGAAAGGAATGTCATCAAACTGACTGAGTGAGCTTGTTCACATTTTCTTGCATTCAATCAAAGTTTGACTCTAGACTTTAGTTTCCCTTGTTATTAATTTTTCCCATCACCATCAAATGACTTCATCAGAATACCATCCCATGCCAACATTTGTCTGTCTGAGGACCAAAGAGTTTTCTCATTCTAATCACCAATAAAATTCAAAAGCTTTCATATCCAGTGGGGTCTTGATTAAAGATGGGGTGGTTAATTAGTTTGGATTATGCATGAACCCTGTAGGTTTGAGGAAAATGGGAAAATGCTGACTTTTGACTGATCTCCTCCTGCAGACCTTATCTTCTACAGACTCATATTTGCATCAATTAAAAAAATATTCATGCTTCTAGAAAAAGGGTTACCAGCACTAATTCTGAATTAGCCTTTAATTGCATCCATTAGCAATTTAATTTTTTTAAATTAAGTTCCAGCATCACTATCATTTCCACCAAATCAAGTGAATTCCTTGTGTTGTTTTTGACTTGCCTTGTTTGCTTGTTAGTTGTTTTCTAGTACAAGTCCATATGCACTATTTCAAGCCATCAGCTCACATGTTATTATAAAACCTCATGATATAATTTTTACAGAAAAACCAGCTGTCTGATGGGTAGTCTTTAATTGCATTTGAAATTCGTGTTCACACTATGTGAAGCCTTCTGACTTTTGCCAGTCATCCTATGATCCCCAACCCAAATCATATGTGTATAAATATATGATCCCACCAGTTTACTTTCCTCATAAAAAAGTTTGCCTTCTGCTTTTGCCAGAAACAGAGTTCTCTGTTTTCTACTTTCCTCCTCTGTTTTTTCCTCTGCTTCTAAACAGAACTTCTGTCCTCGGCTTGTAGACCAGACCTTTTGTTTAGCTTCAATTACCCCCACACAGTACAAATCATGGAAGCTGAACAAAGCCCAAAGAAGCCTCAGAAGCCAGAGGCAAGGCTTCCACCACCTAGAGGTCAAGTTAAAGCTAAGATTTTCAGAGAGTTGTGGTCTAAAGTAAAAGCTGCAGCAGAATCAGTGGTAACTGGGCTGGGAGGGTGCCGTGGAAGCTGAGGCTACATGTTTGAGGGGCATTCAGATACTTGAACCTGATGAAGTTAACCACATTCAAGCTTGTAAGGATTTAAAAATTGAATGTTTCTTATTGTTTTGCTTCCCATACAGATACAGAGTTGAAACCAAACAGATCATTTGGGTCATGGGCATGGCATTTTAGTTGAAACGGGAAATTGCCTAGTTAGGATAGTTCTGTATTTATATACAAGGTTCAGGCCATTGTATTAGCAATAGCAGTATGAATTTTGCAAATTCTGCTTCTGGGTTTGGTTCTCTTATTTATCTGTTATGCTTGGTTAGCTTCCATTTCTTCCAAGTTTAGGAAGCTGGGGGCATGTGCATGAACAAATGATTCACAAAGCAGAAATTGTAGCTCGTGGGTTCTTGTTTTTTATTTGATGGGATTCATGGAGGAAATTAAAATTAATAGATATGTTCTTCATTTTTAGTTGAAAAAGAAAAAATGAAAAAGAAATGAAAAGACAGCAGCAGCAGCAGCACTATCAAGTATCAATGCTTAAAATACATGAGTGTA